TAAAAGAAATCTCTTCATTAAAGCAAAATAAGGCTTTGTCTGTGCTCTTTCCATTTAAAATTAGAGGCAACCACTGCATTTTAATCATGATCAAAACAAGATTGCAATTAGATTGTATAATTTAGAAATTTGAAGCAAAAACAGAATGGTTTGACTTTTTGTGAAACTATACATAAAAAAATATCTTCATGAAACGGAAACAGCAGACGAGCTGAACGAGACGCAGATTCACTCTCTGCCAGCAGGTGGCGCTTAAAGCGTTTCCTTGGTTTCCGCTGTAAACAAAGCAGCGCTGCACTTATGAACTTTAATATGCATTATACAGAGGCAAGATGAAAAGAAAAAATGCCATCTAAACTTTTCTAAAGACAGTAAGTTCCCCTCAGACATGCATTCATATAAACTCCTACCCCTAATTGAATCGCGATTTGTTTAGCATCTCAACCGATTTGAATCGTCACATATTTGAATCGATTTTCAACCGGCTCGCGGTTAATCGTTACATCCCTAACCTTTACCAAATTCTGTGCTTTTGTGAAACTACTACATTTTAAATATTGCTTTAGACTATTACAGTAGTCGTAACGCAACAATATGCCCCTTAGTTTGATGCTGTTGAAAATTGCATGCGTGTGTATGTCTGGGACAGTCTGAGCGTGTGTAGATGTAGAGGGGGAAAGCAGCTGTGTGTGTTTCTGGGTTCTGTGCCCCAAAACAAACTGCCACCTTCGTTTTGACACCTTTCAGCTGAACGCAAGAGAGGAGGAGGAGACGTCAGGAGCAACGTGGATTCATCTGACAGCGTCACAGAGAGCGCTGGACTCCGGACACACTCTGCAGAGCTAAAGTAGAGTTCTGTAAAATATTATATACTCACTCTTAATTCCCGACAGCTCTTTTTTATTTGTTACTTTTATTTGGAAGTAGCTGTGTGCTAAAGTCAGTTCAGCGAAACAATTGTTTGCCTGCTTGTTCGAGTTTCCCACTGCTATAATGTTGTAAATTGTCAGTTAGCTAGATTTGTTTTTATAGGATCCTCTTTTTTTTGGTTTCATGTTTCTTCCCTTTTCCCCTCGTCCATATAATGTTTGTAAGTGTCTTTTGCCTTGATTATTAAATAGAATGTGTTGTAATAAAGTGTGTACTTGTTGCTTGTTCATACTTGATGTGCTAGTTTAGGTTACTGGGTTAAACATTTAGCCAGCCATTGCTTTTTATTTGTTCAGAATTTCTATTTCCAAAACTTTTCCTACTTAAACATCAGGATAATTGGTTTAAGAACCACATTTCAGGTTGTTTGACGTCTTTACTTTCTATAAAAACTGTGCCATTGTGCCTTTTCCAATTTTACTTAATTTTAAGAGGTTCAATACAATATGGATTAATTTGTGTAGTATCTGTTAATTCCTGTTCATATTCCAAATACATTGGCAGGTCCTGCAAGGTTAAATTTTCCATAACTTTTCATTGGTTTTCTTGATTGTGATTGGAGCTATACTATTCAAATCCGTGAAACATGCTCAATTTTGTTTTTGAGTCAAAATAATGAATCGTTTATGGTTAGTAAATGATAAAGTGCAAAATATTCTGCATTTGTAATGTCTATCTGACATCCCTGCTGCAGATTGTGTGCATTGCTTTGTGTATACATCTAATCTTAATGTGTGTATACATGTAGGATTTACTGTAATTTGTCTCTCAAAAGGTCTCTTATGTTTGGTTCTGCTAGATTTAGAATTTAAAGGAATAGTTCACCCAAAAGTGAAAACTTGCTGAATGTACCCACTCTCAAGCCATCCAAGATGTAGATGAGTTTGTTTCTTCATCAGATTTGGAGAATTTTAGCATCGTCTCACCAATGGATCCTCTGCAGTAAATGGGTGCCGTCAGAATGAGTCCAAACAGCCGATAAAAATCATTTTGTTTCTTACAAACATACAGCTTTTGTCTTCACACGATGTTAATTGATGGACTTGAGTGGAGTGGATTTTTGACACGTGACGTGACCTATGCATTGGTCACTTTGCATCTGTTTGAATGAAAGATTAAGGTTCATGTAAACTCAGTTACTCGCCTGAGCCTGTGGCCCTTTGTTGGTGTATTTGGTGGTTTATCACTGTAATTAGAGCAAGTTCAATGTTGGAGTAATTCTAGTGGATCTTCAAACTACATCCTCTGCTAGTGAAGTGGACAGACATCAACATTGTGGGTTTCTGTTCCCTTATCAACATCTGGACTGAGAGGTAAGTCCGTTTTGCCTTTCAAATCTTAGAAATTGGTACACTTGTGCATTTTGTGTTTTTGTAGCCCAGAGCATTGCAGCTTGTTTACAGCTCAAGTTTATTCGGGTCTTGCTGTTGCCTGGCCTTCTCGGATGCATTTCCTTCATTGTACGTTGACCTTTGATGCAGTTGAGTCCACATATAATTATTCATGATTGATGTGGGCTACCTGATGTAATATATTCAGATTTACTTTTACAGAATATTTTTGCCAATCAATAAATTTTTCACACTAGATCTGTCTTTTTTGTTGTCCTGTACACATTTTCTGTTTGTAGTTGAGAATATAAAGTCCCACAGATGCAGAAATTATAATTCTAATGCTTGTAACTATTTTAAATGTTTGTCCAATAGGAATTTGTGTAGAATAGAGATTGCTTCCAGTAATTATAAGAAGTTTCCAGGCAGGCATATTCGATTTAATAAGCGATTGCAATATAATGTCAGTGTGTAGATCAGTGAAGCGAATGACGTACTGTATTTATCCTATCTGATTGGCCGCATGAGGGCGCTATTGAAACCCTCTAAGTCTTAAGTACTTGCAATGACATGTTTTGACCAGCAGAGGTCGTGTTTTTCCCTGAACTGAGTGCCTTGGCTTCATTTGAATTGTGTTGAAATGTTTGAATGAAATCTGATCCCTGGATATGGGTCAGGTATACAACGAGACAGCACAAACCACTTTATTTAGGTGCTTTGCGTGTTTTTCAAAACACTAGATGTGATCCATTTTTCATACTGAAGCCACTTAAAAAAAAAAAAAATGCATTTTTTGTTCAAACAGGTTTTAACTTTGTATTCTTTCAGATCGCGAGTGGGATGGTTTAGGGAAGTAGTCCTGAGGGTGTAGTGAAAATATGGGTGTGAACATTGTTACTAAGAAAATGTTTCTGCTATAATTACACCTTGAGTACATGCACACAAACAGGTGTCCATCCTTGCGGTTAAAGCACTTTTGACTAACATTTGCTCATTTAGTTCATTACACGCTGATGTGCAGACCTACAGACACTACACTAACATGAAGCTCTATATATTCCCAGGTAGGACCCACTGCTGGGCCTGCAGTAACAGGTCTGCACTAGTATGGAGGCCAGCAAGTGTGCTTCCTTAAAGTAACAGCGCAGGCGTGTTCCTCTAGAAGATCATCTGCAATTAAACGCCCTCATTCTGAAGCACACAGTTGACCTTTTTTGTGCGCTGACGACCCTTTCCAGCTGACAAAATGTTCTAAGGATGCTGTTTTTTATAAATATGTGAATGTTACAGTAACATTCCATTTCGTAATTTTGCAAACATGGTTATGTTACTTACGAAGGTTCTAAAACCAGAATGTTCTAACTAAAAGGTTCCATACAAAAAAATAAGTTTCTTGAAAAATGTGTAAATAATGTTAACGTGCTTAAAATCATTATTAAAGACCAGATAACATTGAACAAACAACATTACTGGAACATTGAGAGAACCTTGCCAGAACGTTTTCTAACATGTGAATAAAGAACAGACTCGAGGAAGCCAGTTCGTAGCTTTACATTGGTTAGCTTTCTTTTCTAAACATGATTCTGCCTTAATAGATAATAGCTAAAATGACATCTTATTGCATAATAGCGCCAGTATTTGTGTTATATTAACTGAATGGTCAGTTTATGTTGTCTTGTGGCCCCACAGAAACAATTCCGTCAACTTTGTCAGTGGCGCAATAACGTCTGTTTTTTAAAAGCATCGTGTCCTCACCTATCCAGCTTGTTTTCCGTCATGCTGTTTGGAATTCCACTATGATTATCATACAGGTCTGTTGCATAATGTGCTATTCCAGTTCTTACTTTATCTCAGATTGTTTGGCTTGCAGACAACGTAATGGAAAGAAAAAACTAACTACAACATCCAGGCAGCAGACGGTTTTCAGATAAGATCAAAATACTGTACGTTACACCATTATACAGTATCTGTTAATCATTGCGCTGCATGAATGATTTTTATGATGCTTTAACATGCTCCGTAACTTCACTGCTAAGAGGGAATGCTTTCGCAACTTTCTGGCAAGTTTCTCTCAAAGTGATGAAGAAATGTTCTTACGGGAACATTGTCTTGAATAATGTTAGCACAAAAACGTGTCGCTTCTAGAACTTTTTTCTGAAAGTGTTTAATTGGATGAACATTTAAGTGTTGTTGTTTTTTATGTAGTTGCTTGTTTTGGGACGTTCAGAGAACATTCAAAAGTAACGTTTGCAAAACATAAGATCAAATGTTTCGTTAACGTTCTTCTAACCAAGAAGAGTTTTTAATAGATTTCAAAAACTGGATGTTCAGGGAACATTCAAAAATACTAACATTTTTAGGTTTGCAAGTGCAAATTTATCGTCTTAAGGGCAGACACAATATTTCCTAGAGAGGTAAAACACAAATCCTCAAACAGTTTGAACAAATTATTAATAGACAAGCTAGTTATGCGAGGAATAATAATACTCACGTGTGCTGTTGAGTACTTGATGTATATAAATTATTTAACCTAGGCATCCATCACTGCATTAGGTCTGTCTAACCCTTCAATACGTCTTCTGTAAAACCTATGGAATTTATTCACGCGGTGGTTTCCAAGAAAACTATTTAATACCGATCAGTCCTGAATGAGGAAGTGCAAAGCTAAACACTTTTAGTTTTCGTGTAGAAAGTGTATTGAGTGGTTCTGTGTGGAGTCACACCCAGTTCTCTCTCTCTCTGAGGCGCGTTCACTGCAGCTCTGTGGAGCACGCTAGAGAGAGGCACGCGCTGCTGCGGCTCGGGGATTCATGAGCAAGGTAAGGCGAGATATAATGCTTTCTTCTGGTTTAGGAACTAAATGTACCTTCACTTTTAATCCCGGATGTACCGTTATAAGAGAAAACGCGTCGCGGTGTGTTGTCGCATCCTTGAGGAAGAGAATGTGCTCAGCGTGTTTAATCATGACGGTCTGGATGCGTTTGAAACCCGATCGAGGGTGTTTCGGATCTGGATTCTTGAAGAGTGAAGGATGTAAAATCTCCCTATCGACCCGGAGCAGCTCTCAAACCTCCTGTATAGCCTACAGGAGGACGCGTTTTCGTTGCGTTCTATTCGCGGTGCGTCAGACTGGCGTCTTTCACCGCTGCGTTTTAAGATGGTGTGTTAAGAAGTACAACTTTGAACATCGAAGCGTTTAGTTTTAGATGATTTTAAACACCCGCACGCGTTCTGTGTGCGACGCAGGTCTGTCGCCGCCGAAACGTTTCTTACTGTGCTTGATGTCACATCAGTGTTGAAATGTTCGCTGCCGCGGCGGGTGAAGCAGAGCGAGCGCCTGAGCTTCTGTTCAAATGTTCCAGGGTAGCACAAATGATTGTTGAAGTGTTGAGGTTTGGCGCGATCGAATCATTCTGTCTTGCTACATTGTTGCACTTGAGCGTCAGTCCTTTCCGGGTTGCGTTTCATCTCAGAATCAAAAGAAAACCCGCTTTTCTCAAATGTGCTTAATCGTTACATTGGCAAACAATTATTTTAACAAATCATTTTAGTTTATTAGTCCCAGTTAACAAAATATGTTCTAAGAACGTTTTATTAATATTCCCATAAAGTTATACAAACGTTATTTCAAAACGTGCTTTTTATCTTGGTCATTTGAGCGTTAAGGGAATATTCTGTTGTATTATTTTGCAAACATTATGGGAATGTTAGCTACTTTTGAATGTTTTCTGAACATTCTGAAACAAGTAGCAACATTTACAAAAAAAAAAAAAACAGGGAAAATAGTTACGTTTTGAGGACATTAACTTTGAACAAATGTTCTATTAACGTTACTGGAAGAACGTTTGTTCATAACCTTGCTAGAACATTCTTTGAACATTATAGAAATGTTACTTTTGAATGTTCTCTGAACATTCTTCTGAAGTCAAGTCACCATTATTTATTTATCGCTTTTTACAATGCCGATTGCGACACAAAAAAGCAGCTTTACAGTATTAAAAATGGAAATAGTGTGTCGAAATAGTGTTCCGTTCTCCTCTGACCAGACGAAACCAGCAGTTTAGTTCTAGGCTGCAGCAAAGTCAGACTGTGCAGAGGACTCATCTGGTTCCTGTGGTCTTGTCCCGGTGGTCGTCTAGGTGACGAGTAGCAACATTTAAAAAACTTTAGATGAACATCCAGCCAATGTTTAAGGGGGAAAATGTAGCAAAATGTTTTTGTGCTAATGGTTTGAACATTTTTTAACTTTAAACAAATGTTCTATTAATGTAGAGCATTCTGAGAACATTCCCTGTTAACTAGGGCTTCGGGGTGGACATGTTTTTGAAAGGTTTTGTCAGAGGTTAATGTACAGTAAATTACACTAGTAATTTATCATACATTAGTTGATGCCTCAAGGTACATTTGCAGCAGTAGCAGCTTTAAACAGAGACTGTTCAATATTCAACAACATACTCGCTCACATGCCACTATATATATAGAGCTGAAGTACAGTAGAGACATGCCAGCAAGTTCATACGGTCACAGCATGTGCGTAACACTTTGCAACCTTACAGATCCAAATGTGACGGCTGGACCTTGACACTGATACTGCCAGAGACAGACAGACAGGACCATCTGCAGACAGATAGTGAGCCGCGTTTATGCAATCTGCCTGTTGCTCGTGGCATTTTTGAACCAGTTTCTTACAGTCAGTGCTGCATGGAGGGAGTTTTTAAACTAGGCCTGGTACTGATGCACTTGTTTGTTGATGAACTGATCTACGTGTGACCTTTAGTTTGATCCGTGCACTCCATCCGATCACACTCCGACAGTGCAGGATCAGTACGAGAGCTGAAGGCGAGGATGTTGAGATTAGCGCTGGTTTGATGATCAGCAGGCCTTCTTGGGTCACACTGAGAGCAAATGGAGGAGCCGTGTATTTACATGAATCTGCGGCATTCGCTGTTAAAACAGACTTAAATCTCGCATCTACAATGTGAAGATGGTGTTGTGATATGTGTTGGTGGTCATGCATAGCTTTTCATTTACACAGAACCAAAGACTAAAATCTGAGCTTGAACCAGGGTTATTTTAGGTAATTAAGTAAAACTAAAACCATGAAATGTTAACTGAATTAAAATATATATATAAAAAAAAACTTAAATAAAAACAAAACTAAAATAGTAATAATAATACTTGAATGAACACCAGGGTTATTTTAGTTAGTAATTAAAACTAAACTGATAACTGAAATGAAATATATATATGAAATAAAACAAAAAAAAAACTGAAATAAAAATGTATGGAACTAAAACAAAAAATACTAAAAAATTAAGCTAAAATTAAATAAGAATTAAAAATAAAGAATAATTCAAAATATTAATACAAACTATTTAAATAATACTTAAACCGGGTTATTAGTTAACTAAAACTAAAATGAACCTAAAATAATGTACTTTAAAAGAAAAACTATATCTAAAAAAATAAACTTTATTTTATTTTTGCTAGTTGCCAAGGCAACGGTTTTCAGGTTTATTTTTTATTTATAATTTCAGTTAAAGTAACTAAAACTGAAAAAATAACTAGTATATGGAGATAAAAAATAACAAAACCACACAACAAATTCACTTGAACTAAAAATAAAAATGAAATCTAAAATGAAAACTAATTACAATTATTAATAAAAACTGTAAAAGTATTTAAATGATACAAAATAACTACAAAATAAAACTACAATTAAAACAAATAAAAACTATATAGAGATATTTTAAAAAGACTAATAAAAAAAGGATCAAAAACGAAAAATATGAATAAAAATTTTAATAGAATTTACATGATACTTAAATAACACTATTATTTTGTTGCTTCAGTAAATGCAAACCTGGATGGCCTGTAGTTATGAGCTGAGGATGTAAATCCAGCCCTAGTTTTATTATTGCGCTCATGCGGCAGCTTCTATATTTCCATTGCACAGTTCTCCTGTTCTCTTTTTACTCATCATAGAGTTTGTAGTCATTTTAACTGTGTATTTCCCTCTGGACTGGGCTATAATTAATGTGACTTGGAACTGCTATTTATACTACAGGCCTAATTAGCCAGAACCACGTCTGACAGAAACACTCGGCTGCTGCCCTATTAAACAGGTGAATGATTGATTGATTTATAGAAAGTAGTCATTCAGTCATTCGTTTCATTCAGCTAAATGTTTACTTTTTCTGAAGTGTTGAGAAGTTCAATCCCTGCTTCAATGTAAGTTTATGGGATTTTTCACCTGCTTTATTATACATGTCATGAGGATAAAATCACAAGTCAAAACGCTTAAAGTACAAAACTAATAAAATGCCTGATGAGTAGGTTTTGTTGTCATTTTAATTAAACCCTTAGTTTAACAATAACTGTGAGGGATATTTTGACACCACAACTAATTGTCATAAAAACAGATGTTCGCCCCGTATGTCACATAATTGAAAAAATAAAATAAAATGACAGATGTCATTGGTTGATGTCTTTATTTTTATGCTTAGCAAAGCAAGGTATTTCTGTGAGTGTCCCATATACCGCATAGCTACGCCTCAGTTTCTTGCAGAAAACTGTTACTTAATAAAAGTGATGAATGTGCATGTTTTCATGTAACACAATAAATCCATAACCTCAAACAGTCCTGCTCACTCTTCTGGATGTGGGCCAGTTTCATCTTTAGTGCTAAAATGCTTTAGGATTGAATGATTTTGACTCGACTGATTTCTAAGAACGTGTGATTTACAGTAACCTCAGGACGTGGCAGTGCGTTTGTAAGTCAAACGTTCGTCTGTAGCCTCAGGCGAGTGTGTTTCTCTGTTTGACTTTCATGTCTGGAGGCTTCTTGAAGCGCTGCATTCTCTGATGTGGATCTGTTCACAGTGGTTGGGTGAGGCCACGGATATTGGGCAATTTCCTTAGCACCGTTCCAAAACGTACTTTAAGATTAGTCCACGAAAACTAAATTAGTAGCCTACTTACTGATTAGTGTACAAAAACAACATTTTTAGTGCACAAACATTTGACATACTTTAAGATTAGTGCATGAAAGCAACATTTTACAGACTTATTAGTCCACATTTTACATAATGCACGAAAATATTTTAAAGGTCCCCTGAAGTGCCTTGAAACATGCAGCATTATTCTATGTGGTGACGTAATTTCAACTGAAACAGGAAGAGAGGGCGGGACATATCGAGCAGCCCCACCCCCTTTTTAAAATAGCCAATAGCTTTTAGTTTATATCTGCTGGGGCCAGAGCCGTTGAACTCGGTAAAGCCTTATTTGACAGCCACGGTCTAATAGATTACCCCATAGATTCAATATGAAACTCTTAGTAAAATAAAATAGTGATCATAATCATGCTGAGGCTGTGTAGTTGTAAACGTTTTTAATATATGCCGACTCGCGCATATGATCCGCTCCGTGCGATCGCGTCTCTAGACCGGAGCCAAAGTCCGGATCAGACTGTGTGCGCTGCCGTTGTTCGCGTGAAACAATGTGAAACCAGACCTCATCTGCACCAATCGAAAGCATATTTACACTGTCTGAATCGTTCCCTATCACCTACATTGTGCACTTCGAACAATTCACCGTACAGGAAATACTACACTGTGAACAAGCGACCGATCTTAGCCGCAGCTTCCGCGTCTATTTATAGTGCAGGGGGCGGGCGCTTCGGATTCTAGAGAGCATTTGATTGGTCAGAAGATTTGATGAGAAGATGAAGTACGATGTGACGTCAAAAAAATCGACAAAGTGACAAACTGTAAGTTTTGAATGCTTATATCTTCTAAATGCGAATTTTGTCACTGTTTTG